TACTCTCTCTCTCTCTCTCTCTCTCTCTCTCTCTCTCTCTCTCTCTCTCTCTCTCTCTCTCTNTCCCCGTGAGCGTAGCCTCGATACACGGACGGTAATTGTCGCGTAATTACGAAACTTGAATTTCACTACGAAATCTCGTTTATTAACATTAACGACCTCCTTCCTGAGTCGAGGCTCATTCTCATATTTAGAACGTTTCTTCACCGATGTTAATGGATCAGAAGATCGATCAGATTTTGTAACGGATGAAAAGAGAAGCGAATCATTATTCGTGAGGATTTTGTGCTTTCTTATTCGTTAACTCTGTCCGTGAGACTCTTCGTCATTTAGTCATTCCTTATCCTTTGTACGGATTTATTTGATGCGCAGAATATTAAATTTTCAAGTGAATTCGGCATGCAAAAAAGTATACATTTGTACCAAGATTAATAATTTCAAATGATGCAAATTATTTTAAGATAATTTTATTCGAAAGAAAGGAGACAAAGCCGAGAATCCTAATTGAAAAATAAAGACCCATATCTTTCCAAATAAAATGACACCATGATTAATTTAATTCTCTATAGGTAAGCATCGATTTTCCATCATTTCTTTTCCATACCAAATATATACCTTAGTTATACCTTATAAGCTGGTTGATATTCCCCGATTTGCTCATCGATTTCTTCTCGAAGACTCATCTTCGTTATTTTCCATTTCGTGCAATGATCCTGTAGCTTGGCGGAACGATCCCGTGGGGAGATTGGTCGGTGTTCTCGTGAACTATGCTCCATCGTGTTCTCTCGTGTGCCTCGGTCCCCCTTATTTTACGTCGACACAACTGCCTGTCATCCTTAACGAGTTGAAGCCACGTAGCTGCAACGATGCCGCGCTACTCGACTCACCGGTTTGTCGTGGCATCGAGTTTTAGTTAAGCTTCTCCGCGAGGAATCTCGTTTGAAACTGCCTCAGGCCTAATAGAGGCACCCTCTCTCCCTCCCCCCCCCCACGGGGCACGATCCTGTTCGAGATAATAATTGTCCTCGAGTGTATGAATGTTTGCGGCGTGATGGCATGTTTGCCGAGTTAATTAGCAGCGACGTTTATTGGAATATATAGTCGAATTTTTATTTATACTTTCTTGTGAACGTTGTTGAATTCGTATTTTTTTTTCTTCCGCGTCGAAGATTCGTTATTCTATTATTATTCGATGAAATTGTATTCTGCATTATTTGTTATAATTATACGCTTTTGACACGCTCGAGCGTAATGTTGAATCGTTATAGAAATTATAGAAACTGCGTTTTATTAACACGAAGGGGAGAAAGGTCTGATTTATTGAATGTCTGGATGGTGAAATATAATATTCGGTATAATAATTATATCCTCCTTTCGTTTCATCGATTCTTTTAATTTTCATTCCATTCGTTTCGATTTTCGACGAATGTCCACATTCAAATATCACGAGCGAAATATCGCGAGTGTGGCAAATTCGTGATAACAACGTCTGTCTCGAGTTCTGCTCCAAGTTTCGTTAACAAAATTCAATCCTCTCGTTACATAAACGGACGCTTGCTTGGAACAACGGAGCATCCTTCAATTCCTTATTTACTTATCATGAAAGATTCACGTTTATTTCGTGAAAAGTAGTGATAATAACACGCTCGATATCCACCAAGATAGAAATGTACTGGGTTTGGAAAGTAAAGTTTCATTAGCATGATGATTTCACGTGAAGTAAGGAAAACTTAAAATTAGTATTCAGCAGTTACTCGTACAGATAAAACGAGGTAAACAATAAATAGTTCCAAATAGTAGATTTAGCTGGAAAATTTTACTACACTCATTTGGCGAAGAATTAAAGAAAGAAAAGTCAAGATAAAGAAACATTCTTTTTAGCCTTTGCACATAAGTATAACACTTTGATGATGTCATGCATAGATAGACAATTCTGCCCTGAAATCTCATTAATTTCGTTACCCATAACTTTGTTCTTAACATCGCCTGTGAAGTCCATGGCAAAGTTGAACAACACTGTTCAACAACAAAAGTTTGTGTCAAAGGGAAGTTAAAATCGAAGGGCCCCAGTGAAATGCATAATTATTTCCATCCGAGACGTTCAAATAGGTCGCCCGATGCTTTCCCATTTTTGTGCCATTCTTCCAACTCTCGGTTTTCCAGCCATCACCTGAAAATGAAAGGTGAAGAATAAGATTCGAGCAGGTCGGAACGAACGTTAAGTGTCGTCGCATTTTTCTTCACTCCGTGAACGTCGATACAAGGATCTCGACTCCCTCTTTCAGTCGATCCACCGGAAATCAGCCTTTTCTCCCTCTCCCCGTCTCGTTTACTTTTCTCTTTATTTCTATTCGGTTTCTCTGCAAAAAAAAAAAACAAGATATATATGTATATTTCAGTGATGTTCATAGTTGATACTATTATCATTATTATCAACTATAAATTTTAATGATCGTGATGCGTACGTAAATGAAAGAGGGAATAAGTTTACGTGACTAAATTATAATTCTCGATTAAATGAGAATAATTTCTTTCGAATGTATATGTATGAATAAAATGTATAAAGAAATAACAAGTGAAAGTTTCAAGTTATATCGAACAAAAAAGATTGCAAAAGTTTCATCGTTCAATCTCGCTTGTTTCATTAAAAAAAAAAAAAAAAGGGGGAGAAAAATTGTCTCTTCTCTCGACGATGCCTGCCATCAACAATGGAACATTTTATAGATAGATATATGTATATGAGAGTAGATGTGGATTGAGTTACAAAGCGCTTGATCGCGATGGGATGATATACATCGGATTTTTACGACACGCAAGCGTATATCAGGATCAGGTGAAGGTTTTCTTTTCCGGTTGGACGCGTTTAAGTCGACGATTTTCGTTCGTTATCTCTCTCTCTCTCTTCCTTTCTCGATTCAGGGGGTAAATATATTCGAAATCCTACGGGAGTGTCGTAGCAAATTCTCTGTTTCATTTGGATTTTTCTGTTGGATTTGAAGCTTAGATTTGGCGCGATGTCTTTCATCTACTCATTTGTATTCCCTTGAATGATTAATCTCCAATCCGTAATTTCAATTTGAAGATAATATATTCGTAAATATAGCATTTTAGTATTATTTCGATGATGGAAATGATACGAGCTTTCATTTTTGATATATCGATAATTGTCGAGGATGTATCGAGATTAAAATAAATTTATTATTTTCCGGGCGTGGATATTTATCGTTTATCATTTTCCGCATTTATCCCCGCGAACACAATTGATCAAATCAAAGCGTATATTGTATCACAATATATTTAAATATATTGTATATATAAAAAAATTCAATGAACAGATGTAAAGGGAAATCACTTTTGAACGAGGTCTTGGTTCGAAATTATAACAAATGGATCGATAATAATTTTCATTATTATTTCAATCGAAAAATAAAACAAAAGGAAATTCAATCAAGACGAAATCAGTTTGATCATTTCCAATATATATTCCATCTATACCAACAAACTCCACTTGAACAATCTCTGACCAACATATGAACTCAAATAAATTTACAGGGACAGACTATCACGCGGTATTGGATGTTCGATCGATTCTCTTTTTTCATAAAGAGCTATCACACCGTCGGTTTACTCTATGCGCGACACGCGGGATAAAAGCAAATTTATATTTTCATTCGGTAAACAGTTCAGTTTTTCCAACCTTCGATAATTTCTTTTCAAATAATTTCTTTTTAACGCTCGCAAACGTCGTTGCATCCTTTCACTTATGATAATGATTTCATACATGTATGCATAACGTCTCACTTAACTCGAACATTTCTAACTATTTTATCGATAGTGATAATGATCAGTATCATTATCACTATTAAGAGGAAAAGCATTATTTGGTTGGAAGAGGCATATGAGACATCTTAAGCTTTTATAAATTAAAACCGAATACTTCGATTTATAACAATCTTGACGCGATCTTATAAAAATGTATCAAAATCAATTAAAAATTTATTTTAACAAGTATTTAAAATTGTATATATTTTTAGAAGAATTAGACTTTAAATAAGTATCATTTTGAATACTTTTGATAATGACAAAGAATATTTGAATAGACATTTAAAATTTGCTCAAGTTAGATTGGAACACTTTATACTCACGTATACACGATCGGCTTTCACATCCTCAATAATCCCAACTCGAATGACGGCGGGCTTGAAAGACGTCTGAAAGCTTCCGTTCTTAAACGACGTTACGGAACGTAAAGTAAACGGTGGCAAAGGCGTTTATCTAGAGTTTCGTCGGGTAACACGGCGGATTCATTCTGGATCGTATCGACTTTGTTGTCGTTGAAAAAGACCGATTGCACTAGGTACTCGTTAGTTACTGTCTCTGGCAAGTAGAAAATTACAAATCGTCGTCCAGTCGAGACGCCACGATGACTAATCGTCCCTTTCTATCACGGGATCGGTCTCCGATCTACGCTTCTGAATACAATAGTATTCGAATCCAGACGTGTCAGTTTTAGATTTGTCTTCGTGTATTCGGATAATCGACGATAAATAGCGGGGGGGTTGCTTCTGGAAATTGTCGCAACGTTTTAAGAGAAATCGAGTCTTCGATTGGATTAATGTGTTACCGACTGTCGATACATTTCCTCGATCGCTTTCTTTCTTTTTTTAGATTAGTTCTTTTGTAGGTTAGGATGAAGACAAGTTATTAGAACGTATTATTGGAACAGAGGAAAAAAAAGAAAAATGCTTATTTTGCATAATTTTGAAACATACAGCAAAGAATTAAAGTTTCATCGTTAATTCGTTCGTTATAATCGAAAAGTTATATTCTTAAAATTGAAACGAAAACAACGAAAATCCTATTTCTTCTGGCAAGCGTATCAAATCTCTTTTAAATCTCGTATAAATCGATTCCGCGGAATTTTTCTACTTAACTGCCAGGTTGGCTATGATCTCAGTTACGGTACGAGGAATTGCCGAGTTATATTCCTCGGATAGCGGAAACGTGGCCATAACTTGCCCAACATCGTATCGAGAAACGTTAAAGTGGTTCATCCCGAAATTACATTCTTTATTTGAATTATGAATCACACCATCACGATCATAATTTCGGGATGTAATATATTAAATCCGATCCGCACCATCTCCGCAAAAATCCTTCCCTTCTATCACCTTATCCAATTCGATCTTGTTGTTGTGTTAACCCTGATATTCGAGTATGATGTTTTCGCGAAACTTTCATCCCAGAACGACAAGATGAAACGAGAAAAACGACGAATCCTATATAAGATTGGCCTTAAGCTTCGAATGGAAACCGACGGCAACGAGGTTTATCGTTTTCACCAATTCTTCTATTGTATTTCTTTCCTCCAAATTAGGAGAACAATAAGTAATATTATAATGCATATATTACTTATGAGATTTTTATATAAGTTCTTAACATGTCGTTTTCACGTGTTGATCAGTTGCAATGTAATTTCGGAGAGAGTCAATTTCTGAATGGTCGTTTAACCGGGAAATTGGCGATCCCCGGATACGAATAATCAAATTTTTGCTGGCCCTCTTGGCCTCATATCGTGCCAAACCGCAGGAAATTGGTTCTCAGTGGAGATAAACAGACGATATAGATCGCTAACAATATATATATATATATGTACATCGTTTAAGAAAGAATTTCGATTTCATCCATCGTAATAGAAAACGTTACTTTTACAATTTATTTAGCAACAAATTCAAGTTCATCGTCATGAAAATACATCATACAAATTTTTCATTTTTCATACTTTTCACAACGAAGCAAACGAACAATCTCCAAATTCAAACAACCGCCTCATAAGAGAGTCTATATTTCAATCCTTGTCTTTCGCGAATCTTTTTTCACAATTCAATTCACTCGCCATATTTGCACAGCGATAATACAATATTTGGCGGCTACATTTGGAATGGATTCATTCCACGATTAGAAAATAGCCGTCGGTTGAAAAGAAGGGGAGGGGTGAAAGTATTCGCGGCAGCTGGCGTTGAAAATAGGGTGCTCCGCTTAATCGGTTCTTCCATTACTTAGACGTGGCGAACCTCGCAGAAGTGGGGCGCATAAAATCGCATTACCTTCGCAGCCGCGACAGACACGCGAAATTCTCTCGATATCGTCTCCGCTGCGCGAAGGTTGAACTCGAATCCGTTCGCGTACAACGGGATTTAATGTCTGTGTGCAACGACGAGACGTTGTGACGTGTTAAACAACGACTGCATATGTATGCAGCGCATACGTTTATTGCCTCTTCTTATTTGGACAGGGAGTACGTGGTCACGTATACGTGGACGACTCCGTAGACGACCGTGTTTATCTTTCCGCACAAAGGGAGCAAATTCGGCAAAGGATAACCGCTATTCACGTTATCGTATCAATTGATACATTCGAATTGGCGGATAAAAATTGGCCTCGATGACTAATTAAGATTGTTTTGATTTGATCCAACGAAACTTGTCCAATTTCGATTCTTGAATTCCTTTTTTGTCGATGTAATTTGCCAATTGATGATGAATTTGATAATTCGTATATATTATAGATTTGTTTTTTATAATTTTATTTTAATTGGAGAACAACTTTCTCCGAAAGTTGCCCTCGATGTTTCTCTGCACAAATTTATTTATCAATTTCTTTTTTGTAACGGTATAATTTTTTTTTATAGTGCTGTATCAATTTTATAGTTACATAAAAAAGAAAAGGAACATGTTCTCTTAATAACATCCAACGAACGACAGGTATCAAAGGGTGGACGAGAAATAAAGTAATGTGAAACAAGTTGCACGGTTTACGCAGAGTTAGCTTAATGACAAGCATGATCGTTCAGTCTCTTTGCCGGATGAGACGGTCTGTGAACGGATACACGAACGTCAGGGCAAGTAAATCGTGCTTGTATATGCACAATGGAGGCAGAGTAGCCAGGTATCCAGGACTTGCTCGTATACCTATCTGTCTCTTGATCCAGAGAGCATTCCAATGGCTAGTCGATTGCAAATCGTGGAATTCGTGTCTGCGGCTTCCATTAAGGGAGTTCGAGCTGTAGTTCCGCGTTCGTTAGCTACATCGGTCCCCCCCCTCTCTCTCTCTCTCTTTCACGGTATGTTGAGCGTGCAATTCTCGCCTTTCCTTGCTTTCGTTGTCGTTACCGGTTACCTATCGCTTCTTCCAATCGTGCTCTTTAATTAACGATATTTGCTAACCACCCTTGCCACTCGTATTTTCCAGCGAAATCTCGAGTCGAATAGATTATTAAACGATAAGTAGATTGGTTGCAATTTCCGTTAATGCGTTTTTCGTGGAATAATGATAATGGCAAATGTATTCGTCAATTTATTCATTGTTATACGCAATGATGAGTGATTTTTTTTTTTTGTTTCGTAATTGATGACAAATGATAGGTATACGTAAAGATATATTAATTAATTTAATTTCATTGATTTAAATTGACCGATTTCTAAAAATGGAATTTGTTATGATATGGTAGTTATTCAATTGTTAATTACAATTGTGAGATAAAGTTTTTTTCCAGGATCGGTTATTCAGTTTGTACGTAGTTTTATATTTTTAATGTTTTAAAACGATTAAATTATTAAGCAATTATCTATTGTTAATCGTGGAAAATACATCTTCAATTACTATTTTATATTATTTATTAATTATCTCCTGGTTTAATTTTCTTCGAGATAACGTTAGCCTAACCTAGAAACACGAGGAAACATTAGCTAACCTAAAAACACGAGAAATTAGAAACAGTTATCTTGCGTTATGGGGATGAAATTTAACCGTGGAGAAAAAATACCCTCTTGATTCCATTTACTTCCACGATATAATCCATTATTCATTGTTACGTGTTCGTATTCAAAATGATTTCTGCAAACTCTACCTACGATATCGTCGCGAAGTCAATACGACGAGGCGTGCCCTGCCTCGACTCTTTCCCCTCATTTTTCTCCAAGTAACTATTTCTTTCCACGTTCGATCGACAATACCTGTTGGAAGTATTTTCGTTTCACGATCGAAAGATCGGATCGTATGTCGATACTTATCTCGTGGAGCGTATTTTACGATCAACGAAGCAAGAGCGCAATAACGACGCACAATGAAGTCGACATCGTGAGATCGTACGTACTTGTTATTCGCGAGAGGATGATACGATTCTGTAAAAATTCGAAGAAAATGCATAAGTCGATAGAAAAGACGCCAATGGAACTAAAAATATGTATTATTATAAAAATGTTGATTGACAATAATCATTTAAATTTGTATATTTTTCGAAGAGAATCGATGGCGATAGTGAGATAAAGAAATAAAAGCGAATTTAAATTAATATAACCTAAAAAAAATGTGCCACCGAAATTCAACATTTGCCCCGCGAAATTCAAATTAACTAATTACGATGTCTGATTGAAAATATAAAAATGTATCCGAGGGATGTGAAAAAATTAATTGGTTATGGATAATCGATTAAATTAATTAAAATGAAGTTCCAATATTGCATTTTTAAATGCACGATTATAGTATGAGATTATTTTGTGCAATTAAAATTATTAGAATGAGAAAAATATTTTGGTATATTTTCATATAAATAATTTGTTATTGAAAATAGGTTAAAATCATATTGAGAAATATTTTTTAGATAGGTTTTCGAATGAAAAGTTTTTCAAGTTAAATTTTGTTGAAAATAATTTAAAGTTATGTCGATATTTTTTTTCCAAATTTATATTTACTGTTTCAAGTATAATGTAGAGCATCGGAGAACTAGGTTAAAGTTTTCATAAAATACGGTAACATTTCATAAAGCGAAATTACGTTCCGTCTTCGTTAGCTCTACTTAGGTCTCGACTTCATCAACGATGAGTTACATTTCGCTCTTCATAAGATACAATTCCACATGCACTTTCATTATCCATGTTTCATTTGATATTCAATACACATATATCGTTTAGCACAGCTTTTTTTCATAATTTTTTTCCTCCTTTATCCTTCAAGCTTTTTTTTTTGCATTTCCGAGCACTCAAAGAAAATGTATTCTTTTTAAAAAAACTAAGGAAACTCGAAATTAAAAAAATTACTTCCCTTTACAATTATATCATTAATAATTATTTTCATTATAGAAATAGTAATATATTGTTGATCCCTTTCAATATTTCAATAATTTCCAGCATAGCATTTTACGTAACGTTCCAATTATGAATTTTAATTAAACAATTCATTCATTCCTTCATTTAAAAAAAAAGTGTATGGAATTTCATTTAAAAAAACTGAAGTTTTATTATTTCCGTTTCTCGAATAACAAATATACATTGTACAACTTCCCTTTTGTCACTTTTTCAAAAACTTACCAATTTCGAGAAAAACGATACAGTTGACTCCACGAACGTTCTATACGATTCCAATTTCCGTTTGAGAAAAATTTCGATAATGAATATAATTCTTCCAAAATTGCCGACACATCTTTACCGCAACTCGATCGAGACGTTTTCCACTCTGACATCGTTTTACGTGGAACGATATATAAAAACAATTTTAACAAAAAAATACCATCGCAATGATAGAAACCCTCCCCTCCCGAATTAACTGTTGTCTGTTTCCAAGTCCGTCCTTTGTTCCACGGTTCGCGTAATTCGCCGCCCGGAAATTGCATTACATCACGGCAAGTTACATCGAATCAGTTACGCCCGAACAGCTTTATCCTCTGTGCAAACTTGAGCTTCGGTTGCATATTGAAAGTTACCGTTTCCTAGGCTAATTAGTTAACGGGTATTAATATTACAAATAGCGATTTCGGTGAAACGGAAACTAAATACCTCCTCTGCCTAATTCAGATGCCAGATATTGTTCCCGAATAGCGAACGCGCCCGGATATATACCCGGTGTATTATTGTAAATGCTCATTGGCGCGTTGCGCCGGCCTATATTCCCTCGCTCCCTAAAATTGCGAGGCTCGAACGAGGAAACCAGTTTTCCAGGGACGATCCGGATTTCTCTCCGATCCGACTATTATATTCCGGTTTTATGAGTCGCTCGCCGCTTCAGAAGCCCTGGCAGAGATTCCTCGGTGTAAATAATGATTTGAATAATAAGACGGCACAGTTGCCACGATTTTACGGGCTTAGCGAAAAGCCGATTTGAATTTTCAATGAACGCCGGCGATAAATTGGCCGGCCTCGTTCGTGATGAGCGTTTCCACTATCTGGTAGAGCAGGGCCGCAATTTTAATTACAGAGAAGTGGTGTGTATTGTTTCGCGGATGATTGTGGCGGCCGTACGTATTTGGAGTACGATATTTTAATGAAACTCGGTTGCTCCCCTAACTTTCGTACTTTCCTTCTTTTTTTCTCTCTCTCTCTCATGTGGAGATCCGTTTCTACTCGTTTTGCTAAACAGATTGTTTGCAGTTTCGTATAATCCGTTTGTTTTATTACGATTAATTTTGTTTAATTTAATTTTTACTTAATCGTAATGATAACAGTGCTCTTCGCTCTTATTAATCGTTAAATCTCTCTTCTAACAAATCTCTTTTCTACATTTTTTTACTGTTATCAAGATATAATAATATTAACATTTAAAAAGACGCTGCAACCCTAAAAAAAAAAAAAATAAGAAAAGAAAAGGAAAGAATTTTCTAGATACCACCAGAAACTCTTTTGTAAGAGATTATCGCGGAACAATGGACAAGAGAAACTTTTGAATAAAGAAACAACAATTATCAAGCGCGGCTCTCATTGTAGAACAAAATGCAAAAGAACAATTCCAGGTATACTTTCATCCCCGTTACGGCCACATGGAAATTCATAACGCGGTTCCAGTCACGTGTATCACGTATCCGGCCGTGGAGTGATCCACACGGATCTGTGGCGCGCGCATATTCCCGATTACAATTTACACGAGCGGGAGAGAAATGGGTTGCAAGAAAGCCTGGTAATCGTAGGATTTCGATATTTTCACCCCGTGGAACCAATCAGTAATCATCGCTCGGGATGAACAATATGGGGGAAGAGGGGGCATAACTGAAACGATAATTGTTATTGCGATCGTTAACACATCGACACGGGGAATGGGTGTTGCGCATGCGTGCTCGATCGGTAAGCGCGATGACCTACCAGAGGATTAACAATTCCATTGGCGTTAAGAGCGGGTCGAGCGACGTGCAAGCCTTCCTGCTGCCGATTCAATGGGGTGGTTAATGAATTTAAGCCATCTTCGTGCCGTCCTCCACCTGCACAGCTCAGGCTCCGAACTTGGGCGGATATATAGATAGGTCCTTCCATGTGTATTCTTTGCCAGAGTGCACTTGACTTGGTGACTTCGTTCGACTTTATGCGTCTATTGTGGGGTGGCGTGGCAAGCGTAAGGATTTTGGCTGAATGGTTTCTGGCAGGGGGAGCGTTGTTTGAGATGAAATTTAACATTTTTATCAAAAGTTTGATAATTTTTCGCTAGGATTTTGTTTTAACGATTTTCTTAGTCGCTTGATTGAAATTTTAATAATTCAAAAACGTTATATTCATGTTATATTCTTCACTCTCGTTGCGTGTTGATTTATGATTTTCTTTCACGTTTATCTTGCATATAAGCGAGTGAAGTTATCACATATGCACCTTATATTTTTACCGCGATGTGCTACGTTGGACGAGACAGAGTGAAGTTATTTATATACCTTTGTTACATGTGAATCAAAGTTGGTGTTATTACATACTCAACACTTTATGCACATACTTTCCTTTACTTTCCTGTGTTATTCTAATTATATTTGTATATCTTTCAGATATTTTTCTTCCTTTCTTCTTTATTGAAAAAAGAATAAATAATTTTTTTCGATTTTTCCCTCAAAATATTTGTAATATTTCAGTGATGAACTATAATAATTATATATATTTAATAATTTTGAAACTTAACTTTTGCTTGTTTCGAAAACGCCTTAAGCGATATCGTTTATTTAAGAGGAACTAGTACGATGTTAATCCTTATTCCTTTGGAATTATTATCCTTAGGACGTGTGCTTCTGATCCCTGCAGTAGCTATTTTCTAAGACTGGCTTTATCAAGGGGAATAGTTTACTAGGCTTGATTTTGGAGGAATACGTTTTCACGAAACGAGAGACGTTGGATTACGCTCATAGTTAAATAAGGAATGAAGATATTAGAGATGATTTATTGTTGCAAAATTTATACAAGGAAAGTTGTTTTATAATTTTGGAAATGAGATTTATTTTCAATCAACGTGAAACATTTTTAAAACTTTTTTTTCCTAACAAATAATCTTCTTGTAAATTTCGAGGATAGCAATTTACATTGTTCTTTTGTTATTCGAGTTTGGATAAAAATGGTCGTTAAAAAAAGATTAAAAAGATAATAAATTTCAAAAACAACTGATGCTTCTCGTTGAATTAATTAAAGGAATTAGAACAAATCTCGAATTCTTCATCTTTTTCAACTATTCATGCTTGTACGATATTTCGAACCAAACTTTTTATATTATCTTATAAATAATATTTTCTTATTTAAAAAGAAAACAATACAAATTTTAAGGATATTTTTAAGGAAATTGAACGATTGATCAATTCCGGAACATATAGGAATTCATATTGTTTCAATCCAGCCACGTTGGTTGTACACATTAGTCATGGAGGAGAATGTTGGAAAATAGCGTTGTTGGCCTGTTAACCGAGATCTGTTAACACGCACCAGAATGTATGTTCTGCATTTGATGAAAATGTGTTCACGTGCACCGATGGAGGATAGACTTTGCCCCTTGTTTCATACCGTTAACCTCTCGTGTTTCGCCCATTTCAGCCGAAACGAAAATCAGAATTTATCACGTGTCGTTCACGAACATGACCACTACGCTAATCCGTTTCCTTCACTTATTATCCACCATTAAGGTTGAGAAGGCAGTTCGTGGCCGGAAAATTTCTCTGCGAAATTCCACGGATTCTTCTTCTTAACTGCCAAGATTCAGAAAGAACGGTGAAAGTTCTTAAAATTTTTCCTCGCGTGAAACTTACTTGATGTTTCTTCCTTTTTTTCTCTTAAAAGAAAAGAAAAAAACTTCTTCGAAGAAGAATGTATCCTTTTGTCGTCTTCTCTTTCTTCTCTCTCTCGATTTATTAAAAAAGAACGCCGCCGAAAACTAATAAATTTTGTTTTTCAAAGGATGTGCTCGAGAGATTAGATTCGAATATGATCTGCAATAATTTTATAAATTTTAATCGAGATTAATAGTTTGAAATTTTGCTTCTTAAAAATCATGTAGAGATTAGATGACGATTTTCTTAATTCTGGAAATATTTACAATTTTTTATTTTCATATATTTCTTAATAAAAAAAACAATTCTTAATAATTAAATATAATTCGCTGAGAAAAAAGTTTACTTAATTTTACACGAGAGACTACAATTCAGATTGGGCCTAAGCATAAGTGTGTCGGAGAAAATTGATACGTGCAATTACGTTTAACGCGAGAACGAATTTATATTTTTATCTCATTTTTAATATCACGTGAATATCATTCTAATTGGTAGAATTAAAAATATTTCCTGATATTCCGCCGCTCTTTTATCCCCCCTCCACCTCCCCCTCCCCTCGCCACACACCATTAACAAACGTTTGTCTGGAATGAATTTACCAAATGAAACGACATTAATTTTTTCCAAAACAATGCTTCATTTATGCATTCGTATACACACACACACACACACACACGTATATCTCACAAAATTTCAGGATCGCATGCTCTTTCATCGAATCACGCTTTCTAAAAAAAAGTCTCGTAATGAGATTGAAAATTCGATGCCTATGTGAAAATATCATCAACGAAATCCCTCAAACAGTGGAATTAATTGCACACGGCGTTCAATCACGTTTTTCCAAATGAAATTAGTGAAAAAAGGAACGAAGGAAAAAAAAAAAAATAAGGAGAAAAGAACGGATTAAAAAAAAAGATAAAAAAGAGGATTAACAGTTGTTTACGATGTTTTGTTTCGCAATAAGTATTTAACGTCTCATTATTGCGCATCGTTTCAACTCTTCCCTCTTTTTTTTCCTCCGCTCAAAATTACTTTAAATGGAATTGAAAAGACGCGAACTTTTTATTTCGTTGCTACAAGCTAATTCGGACTCACTGTCGTAAAAATATCGTTGGAAATTGTCGTGGAAGATTTAAGAATTTAAGAAGCGAAACGTAAGTCGCGATATAATAAGTTATATTCGTTGTTAGAGTTTTATGGCGTATTATATATACTTGTAACCGAGATTACTAAGATACTTTTGAAATAGCAATTGAAAGCCATTGCGTGTAATTCAACACGTTTATATACTAAGAAATTATTGAAACTTCTTTATACGATGTTTAATTTATCAATCATGTGGTTCTCAATTTTTTTATAAATGCATCTTGGCAAAATCGAAATTGATATTGCGACATTTAAAATCTTTATTGATTTTTGAATAATTTGTAATTGTAATTTTTATACATTAGAGTTTCCTGTTTATTTAGAATCGAAGTAATCACGTTACGCATTAAAATGAAAAACTTTTGGATTATGCAATTTTTATTCGAATTATTTATAAATATCATTCAATCAAATATCTTATCGGTGATGTCATTATTGGAGAGTTTTTAATGCAAACGAAATTGCTTTATTTATATTTGCCTTTTTCAAATAAATTATTAACTCAATATAATATTACAATATAATATTCCGTCCACAATAATATATTTTTCTAATAGAATATAATTTAATCACGTCCACCGAACAATTAACGAATTCTCTACGAAATTCAAATTCCTGGATTTATCTGCGGAAGTGTCGGATATTTTCTTACATTTGGTACACTAGATTCGTTCGAAGTAACCGAGAGGAAAGGTAGAAGGGAAGGTTGTATAGGGGGAAAATTTATGCGGTTGAAATAAATTTAATGTTTCGTGACTGTGTAAAACTCTGAATTTTATTTTCCTACGAAAAAAAGGGGGGTAAGAACGGTGGTTTCTTATTTTGTAATAAAATATATTACGTCGTTATGCATAAACTTTCTCTTTTTGAAAAATTTTGATAAATGTTTTTATTTCGTTCAAGGAACGAAAGAAGAATCGTTTAATTATTATTATTAATTAGATAAATAAGAAAAGTAATAAAATAAAATACTTCAAAAATTACTCCTTCTTTAATTTCTTTGAACGAATTAAAAAGATAAAACGTACAATAGAAAAGAAAAAAAAAGAAAAAGAATCGAAATCCGTTTTGAAACTAAATGAAAAGTCAGGAAGCCGCCAAGTTTATGGGAAAAAAAAAAAGTCTATAATATTAATGAGAATCCTTAACAGAATTAAAATTTGATATTTTTCGTTTAAGTCAGACCGATCGGAATAAATTCTCGTATTTTCGCAAGGGAAAATAATAAGTTGGAGGCTTAAACAAGCTTACTATTTTACATTTTAATCTTTCAATTAAAAGGATCGAGGGGAAAGCGCGGCTTACATAAATTCGAAAATGAATAAGGGCGGTGGTGCGATAAATTTTATATTTTCACTTCAAATATCGAAATAATCTAATTTATTGCAAGCGTTTTCGATTAATCGTGTTCCAACGAAACAACGATATCGTTGTATTTCATCAGCTACGTTGTAACTTTTAGGGAAGTTTCAAACTTAAAACACATATATAGCTTGTTACAACGATAGCTTTTACGCTTCGGTGAATGCGTATGCGTTTTCTGGAAACGAATTCATAGTTTCTGAATTAGATGCACGCGCGATTACTCTAGAATTAACGCGCTGTTGCTCTATAATGGTAATTGCAATTAATGTAGGAAATGCAAAGGAAACGGATAAACAATCTTAATGATACGCGCGACACAGATTAACCGAAACTTAACCGAATTAATTGTACTTGCAGGTACTTAGGATAACATAACCTAGCTTCCTCTATCCCGATTCTATGTTCAAACTTTTGACACGCACTCGTGTAACACATGTTTCCACTATAAAATATTAATCGTTTAAAATTCCAAAACTCGTTGCAACGTACGAACATAAATATACAAATATATTAATATACTCGTGGAATATCTTTGGAAGATTGATTTTTAAAGGCAGAGATAAAAATTGATACGCAAAAATATCGATCAAACCTTATTTTCTGTTCAAATTCATAGGTTATAACTTAATAAATAATATAACGACGACTCAATTGTTATTATATTATTGTATATTGGTGTATATAAATTTTTCTATTTATCAATGATCCAATATATTAACACATTTCACACGAATAAATCAATTATATAGAAATTAACATACCTTTATAAAAGTTCGTCGCACGACCGTAAGCCTCGGCGTCACCGGAGAGAATCGAGAAGTAAACACCGCGCGACGGAATAAAACTGAAGACGTAGATTCACGTCTCCCCTCTCCAACGGTTGGTAAACAAAAGACATAGATTCTCGTGTCTCGTTCCCAACGCTTGGAAATCGAAGGCCATAGATTCGCGTCCCTTATCCACAATGTGTTGAACTCTATATATTATAGATCGACAAACACCTCGAAACTTCTCAATTTCACTCTTCAACTCATAACTTTTCGCATTTTTCACCGACGTCCGCGAGATCTAAGTGCGACTCGATGAAAAAAAAAAAAATGAAAGCATTCTCGAAATTGGATGCAGTTTCCAAAAGGAAACATTTCAAGGGAAGCGAAAAAGATGATTTTTCGTATTCGTTCCCGGGATAATAAACGAGTTCTCGCGTTATTTGTTCGCGGCCACGTGTACAGGTAGAGGTTAGGAACAGGCTTACACGATGGCACGGTTGTGACACGTATTTTATGGTTGTGTAGAACACGCCCTGGCTATGTTGTAACGCAGTTGTTCGCCGCGCTTGTTACCGCTAACTAATGTGTTCCCCGCCCATCTGATACCGCGATTCACCGATCAAGGGATCCGCTGAAAAACGGTACAAGTGGAGGATTAGAGTGGTAACGGGGAAATGATAAAAAGGGGCGGACAAATTGGACATTGTGAACATGCGGGGGGAATCGAACGAGGGACACGGTCGTTCGAAACTCGGATGTTTGCTAGATACCATCATGGATCTGGAGGGCAGTGCATAAAATAGACTTTTAAACGTGGAAAGTGGGACAACATGATTCGTTAGTAGATTGGAAATCAGTGCTACCATTTACGCATTATGGCGATGACTGTATGTTTGATTACGACTGTTTGTTTGATATCCGAAATACAGTTATCTGTGATAATCGTGATTGATAATGATTGTCAATCCGTGGAAAAAGAATTTTTGGAATCCATTGAGGAGAGAATCGTTTTATGAAGTGTCATTTTTGTACGTCAAAGATTGCTAGAAATAACAAAGACGTGATAAATGTGTAGGTGTAGTTTTATTGGTAGTTTAGAAAACAACGTAGAGAGTAAAGTTTTAGGGGAAGGAAGTAGAATGAAAAGAGAAGGATGAAAGTCATGCAGTTATGTCAAGTTGATTCACCTTATAATCATATTAGTCACAGTTTCAACACTGCGGAACTAGAGGGAACATCCCTTAAACCTATAATAGTACAACATGGTACATAGACTTTGAGTCGCATTATTAATTAGCTAGGGACATATCGTAAACGAGCAACAATTTATAAGCACGAGGCCTCTTTCCCCTAGAGTCTAGTTACTCTGTTGACCTATACCATCATCTTGCTAACTCCCGAATTATCAAGTTGATCGAGTACTCGATGTTCCGGGAGAATTATTCAAGAGCTTCTTGAATAAGAAGTTCTATCTATCGGTTAATTAATCGTGTCGTGATTTTTTTCACAAAATAATAATAATTAACAAATAATTAAAGTAAGCGCATATTTTATCTTTAATTATATATATATATATATATATATATAGTT